TGCTGTCCTCACTGGAGTGATTCGCTTTTCGTATTCATACTGTTGTTGTTTTGTTGTCATCATCAAACTACAGAGTAGACGATATTTGTGATGACTGACCTTTAGAAATGGCACCTTATGTTGTTGTTAGGTAACTTTGGATGCTAGGTTGCTTTGGCAAAGGTCATATTCCTCGTTACCAGCATGTTAACCTCACCGATGTTTTTCCATAATTTGCATTGTCCTTCAACGCGCCCATGGCCAGTTGACAGTTATTACTTAGTGAAATGTTATCCAGCTTTATGGCAGATCAAATTAGAGATTTAGAATTTCTTTAGGTACAAAACCCTTATGCCTCGCTGTCTGTTACTCGCGTAACTGTGGCTGTTTGTAGTTTGGCTTGTGATTTTAGTTCCAGCATTAGCTCGTACAAATTCTGATTTCAGAAAATAACATGGTGTTACGCCATATATTAAGCGACTGTTATTGAACAGGTTGTTAATTAGCGGCATTTTATTTTTTTGTTGATTTGTGCTGGCTAAACTGTGCTGAAAAACAGTCAGTTCTTTGTTAATGATCTTGTTAAGTGTTTACGTTTCAAGCAGTGCCTCGTTGCATTTTAAATTTTGCATCGATCATTTCAGCAATGAAGATATTTGGCATAGTGATTTATTATAAGGATGCGGCTGAAGTGCGAGTGTTGAAGAATGCATTTGAACTGCAGAGCTTCGGCTTTTTCCAACGGGCAAGCGTCCGTGACTTCATTGTATTCACCGGCAAGCTGATCATCGAACGAAGCGGTGTGCCGGCTCGCTGTTCGGTCAAGGAACAGGAGTACATGTGCCATGTGTACATCAGGAGTGATAGACTGAGCGCGTTGGTGGTCGCAGACAGCGAGTACCCGAACCGGGTGGCGCACAACATGATGACGAAGCTGCTGGACGATTTCGGCGCCAAGGTGCCAAATACGACGTGGACGACCGGCACTGACTCGTCAATCAACTACCCAGATATCGATCTCTTCCTCAACCGGTACCAAAACCCGCGCGAGTGCGATGCAATGACCAAGGTGCAGGAAGAGCTTGACGAAACCAAGGTCATATTGCACAACACCATCCAGGCGGTGCTGGAACGCGGCGAAAAGCTGGACGATCTGGTCGAACGATCCGAAGGACTGACCATGCAGTCGAAGCTCTTCTACAAACAGGCTAGACGGATGAATAAGTGCTGCACGTGGATATGACCGCCCGCGGACTACCGTTATGCAAGGCATGCAGTCAAGTCTAACGTTGCTTACTACTCCTATTATTTTTGTACTGTACAACGAAAACACATCCTCGTTATCGTATTTGTTATTAGCTTTTGTCATTTTGTTGTTTTTTGTGCTTCGGATTAATATTACGTATAATACATACGCTTAGCATATCTAAACGCGGGTTGCCCAGAATGAAGGGAAATTTTGATTGCTTCGTAGAGCTTTTCAAAGCACTTGCAACAGTGAATGTCCAAACAAAATATACGTCGTCCATGTAGCCAGCGAGATGTCTTTTCGACTGGTTGTGTTAAGTTTTGTTGTGTTCAGTTATGGAAATGAAAGTTGCACATATACATGTCGTTTGGTGATTTTTG